GGGAAAGAAAAGGCATTAAAGAATTCACATAAATCCAGGTGCTCCCTCACCCCACCTCTAAGCCCCAACCTCACCCTCCATGGCTGCCTTCTCTTTCTGGGCAAGCCGAATCTGCTGGAGGAGTTTTCTGCGTTTTTTTCCTGACAGAGTAATGTTGGCACGTGCACTGGACCTAAGGAATAGGTAGGAGCAAAGAAACCAGGTTAACGAGAACCAACACAAGTCACAGAGTAGTTCTGGCTATGGAAAAGATCACTGGGGACCAGCCTATAGTCTAATGGTTAAGGGAGCCAGAACACACACGTCTCACTGCATGTTCGAGTCTGGCTGAAAAACGTACTAGGCACAGGCACCAGATGGCATAATGGCTACATTGCTGGACTCCCATGTAGTCAACTGTGATTCGAATCCTGACCCAGGTGGCTTAAATTCACGCCGGGCGCGTGTGCGTGCGTGCCCAAGATCGCAAGAAGAGAATGGAGGAGATGGGACTGTGGCGTGGCCATCCCCCTGGGGGGTAATTTCTTGCTCTCTGTCTCTTTGTCTCTGTCTTTCTGGCAAGCACATGTGCCCTATAGCATAAACATCTCCAATAAAAAAGAATAACACACTAGGCACATGTGTGTGTGAACTCCAACTCTTTTTTTTTTTTTTTTTTGGAGAGATTTTCACTGTAGGGCGCGTGCGCTCGCCAGACAGACAGAGAGAGACATAGAGACAGAAAGCGAGAAATCACCCCCCAGGGGGGATGGTCATGCCACAATCCCTTCTCCTCCATTCTCCTCTCGGGATCTTGGGCACGCACGCACACGCGCCCGGCGTGAGTTTTAAGCCACCGGGTCCGGGACACGAACCGCGGTCGACTACGTGGGAGTACAGCGACATAGCCGTTACGCTAATTGCTGGTTCCCTGAACTCCAACTCTTAACAGAACAGAGAAATGGAAGATTATGGTGTGATTGGTATATGCATCTTCTAGCAAATTAAAAAAAAAAATCTTTGAATTAAAATCTCTTTGGAAGCTTGGTCCCTAGGTTTATCAGTAAAGTCTTTCAATACTTAAGACTTATTTTACCTATCTTATTTTAATTACGGACTTATTTTATTTAACATTAATCTCAACACATACTTAGGATTAAGTATTAAATGGGACTAGCAAATGGCATAGTGGTTTCATTGGGCTCCCATGTAGTCTTCAGCATTCAAGTCCCAGACCCAGTGGCTTAAAACTCACATTTTAAGGGACCCATGTGCATGCATGTGTGTGTGCGTGCCCAAAGACCCAAAAGGAAAAAGGAAAAGGGATTGCAGCATTTCTCTCTGTCTCTCTGGCAAGTGCACACACCCTATAGCAAAAATCTCTCTCAAAAAATAAAAAAAAAGATCAAGTATTAAATAAAATGCTTTATGTTAAACGGTAAAGTTTAGTATCTAGTCGAAACTCTGAATGGTTTTTTTTTTTTTTGGAGAGGTTTTTGCTATAGGGTGCGTGCGCTCGCCAGAAAGAGAGAGAGACATAGAGACAGAAAGTGAGAAATCACCCCCCAGGGGGGATGGCCACACCGCAATCCCTTCTCCTCCATTCTCCTCTTAGGATCTTGGGCAAGCGTGAGTTTTAAGCCACTGGGTTCAGGACACGAACCGCGGTCGATGGGAGTCCAGCGACATAGCCATTACGCTAACTGCTGGTTCCCAAAACTCTGAATGTTTTTAACGAAGGTGCCAATAAAACGATGTAGAAAGTCAGGACCAGCAGTTAGCATAATGGCAATATCGCTGGACTCCCATGTAGTCGCCCACGGTTTGAATCCCAGACCGGCGGCTTAAACTCAAGCCGTGCGCATGTGCGTGGCTGCCAAGATCCCAAGAGGAGAATGGAGAAGGGATTGCAGCGTGACCATCCTCCCTGGGGGGTGATTTTTTTGCTTTCTGTCTCTCTGTCTCTGTCTTTCTGGCGAGTGCATGCGCCCTATAGCAAAAACCTCTAAAAAAAAAAAAAAAGATGTAGAAAGTAATTAATGGGACTGACATTCTTCCCCAAGAAGCAGGAAGCCTTGAAACATGTATGCAAAACCCACGTGTACCTTTGGGAAATTTCATTGAGTTGTACGCACTTATGTGTGCACTTCTCTGTATGTAAAACAAAAACCTACTGTGGATGCGTGAACCATTTGGGGTGTGGGGACAGTTGACAGTTTTCTTGAGATTCTGGGTAGGGTTTGAGACCCAAGGTTGTGAACTACCGGTATTGTGAGGCCAGCAGAGTTTAGGAACGAATACATTGACAGATACGCCCTGCACAGTCTGGAGTGTACGAAAGAGAGGTGTTGGCTGCTCTGGAGGGATGATAGTCGATGGATGGGTCTGGTACTCACGCCCGCTTCTTGAGATGGTGGCGCGTGATCAGCCCTTGGTCTACCACAGCCCCCACCACCTGGTGCCTCAGTCGCCGCTCCCGGTTCAATACCCGCCTGCGCTTGAACAGCTTCTTCTTCAGTTCCTGTGGGGAAGAATGATGAGAATCAGACCGAGGATGCACACCGACACCCAGGACCACCGCACCCGTCGGTCCTAGCCCTCCTCGATCCCATTTCGGCAAGAGAAAAGTACTCCGACACGCTTGGGGAAAGAAAGTCGCAGCAGGCTGTCACCGTTCGGGGCCGGTTGATCTTTCCCCCTGGAGGACCCATGGCTGCACTCAGACGCCTTCTCCCGGTCCGCACTTCCGTTCCACGGGAATCCGCCCCCATCCTTCAGCGGGCCAATCACAGCTGAGGGGCGGGCTGGTTTCCCAGGACTATATAAGTGAGCTCGGTTCGGTGCCAATTCTTTCCGAGGACAGCGGCTGTTCGAGATGGTACGGTCAACTTCTGGTGAGGGTGGCGGTGGCTTTAAGCGGGGCTTGCGAGGCCCTCCTTTTCTTGGCGGGGAGTGGGCCTGGGGTCCCGCTCCCTGTTATGTGTGGAGGCAGAGGGAAAGGGGCTCCAGCCCCCTCGGCGTCATGTCTTCGGTGCCCGCGGCTTTCTATCCGCTGGTTCTATCCTCAAGCGCCGGGACACGTCTCTGAGCAAGGCAGAGCCGACATCCAGCAGGCTCCTAACTGCGGTGCTTACGCCTTTGCCTTTTCTTTCAGGTCTGCCTACGCCTCTTCAGAAGCGGGAGCTGTAGTATCCTCTTCTCTTCCGCGTCTCTTTGATTCCAATAAAGGCCGTATATTACGTCTTTGTCCGCGTTCTTTCTTGCGAGGCTGCAAGGTTCGGGAAGGCTGTAAGCGCTCTCTGCAACGCGGAATTTGCAGATCTTCCCTGGGCCTCAGACCCCTGCTGGAGTGCGAGCGACATTGCGTACAAGGTTCTCTGGCCGACCACGCAGGGACCTCGGGATGGCTGCGCTGCACCGAATGCTACACGTTTCAACCCTGGTGTCGGGGGCGCGCCGGGCCTTGGCTGGTAGGGAGGGTGGGGACGGGGCGGGGGGCAAAGTGGGTTCTAAGTGACCTGGGCGTCTTCGTGCTTGAAATTGTGGCTCCTAAATATAGACCTTAGGGTTGTATTTGCCGTTCGTTTGCAGTGGTGGGTTAGATCTTGGGCACTAGGTGACAAATACCCTCACCGGTGTCCACAGGTTCCCTGGCCGGTAGTTCCCTGGCTGATCGCTGCCTCTGGGATCGGCTGCATGCCCGTCCACGTCTGGACAGTGTCCCCACCTTCGACTGGTTCTTTGGATATGAAGAAGTCCAGCCGCTCCTACTGCCACTGCTGCAGGAGGCTCAAACTGCCTTACCGGTTCGAGTGCTGGATGTGGGCTGTGGAACCTCTAGCCTGTCTACAGGCCTCTACACCAAGTCCCCATACCCAGTGAACATTTTAGGGGTGGACTTCTCTCCAGTGGCTGTGGCTCACATGAACAGCCTCCTGGAGGGTGGTCAAGGCCAAACACCTTTATGTCCTGGGCATCCTGCTTCCCGCCTCCACTTCATGCAGGCTGATGCCCAGAACCTGGCACCTGTGGCTCCCCCAGGTTCCTTCCAGTTGCTACTGGACAAGGGCACCTGGGATTCTGTTGCCCGGGGTGGTCTCTCAGGGGCTTACCAAGTGCTGTCAGAATGCTTGAGGGTCCTAAGCCCTCAGGGGACCCTGATTCAGTTTTCAGATGAAGATCCTGATGTGCGGCTGCCCTGCTTGGAGCAAGGGTCCAGCGGCTGGACTGTGACAGTGCAGGAGCTAGGCCCTTTCAGGGGCATCACCTACTTTGCTTACTTGGTTCAGGGCTCTCATTAAAGGCATTTTAGTCCTGTCCCTAGTAGCTCTATTGGGCAAGGAGAAAGTTGAAGAGAGCTGTATCTAAGATAATAGATTATTGGAAAATGAAAATCAGTTCTGGTTTAGCAGCTGGATACACATTGTTTCAGCATCCTAGTTTACTTCATCTGCACAGTGGCACGAATGCTTGGAGTTACAAAGATGTAATAACATGAAACAGTGCTAGGCACAAGATGAGTGCTGGAAAGAGGACATACAACTGGCTTGTTCCCCATTTCAATTAACTGGAGCACCTAAAAGCAGCAGATAGGTACTGGGTCCAAATCCCAGTATTAACTGACGTGTGATCCAGTGGCCTGACCTCACCCGTGTAAGGGGATGATGACTGAGGATGGGTGGAAGGGCATCATAAACGTAGGCATGATGTTCGAGGGAGAAAGAACAGCACTTAACCCTGAAAGTTACAGGGAGGCAGGAGATGGGAATAGTTCACAAGTCTGCTTCTACAGACAGTGGGAGTGTTGCTCCATCCCAAAGAGGACTGGGGTTGGATTCCTGATAACAGTCTCAGGAATCCAGGAGACATCTCGTGCTTGCTCCTGCCCCCAGCTGAAATTGGACTTAAAGGTTCTAAAGGAAGATCTGGGTTCCTATGGGCTCCAAGCCTAGCCTGGGAGGGGGTTAAAGAGCTCATTAACAGTGAAAAATATTCCTGACATTAAAATTTTAAAAGATTATGAAAAGTTAATGCATGTAGTGTTTTTTTGCTTATACAAATAAAAGTGAGCATAGATAATGGCACAGTGGCCTCTTAAGTTCTGCCCACAGGAGAAGGTTCTGGATTCAGAACTTACTGACAGCCAAGTATGCCAGACCCTGCTCGCATGACCTGGGCTAACAAGCTGGAGGTGCATCCTGGTGTTGAGACCTTGCTGGAAGTTCTCCCTGCCTCCGTGGTTCATGGAAGAAATAAAAAAATTTCCTTTAAAAACCAATTGGGGGGACCAGCAGTTGGCACAATGACTATGTTGCTGGATTTCTATGTAGTTGACTGTAGTTTGAGTCCCGGACCCAGTAGTTTAAACTCACGCCAGGCGTGTGCGCATGTGTGCCCAAGATCCTGAGAGGAGAATGGAGGAGAAGGGTTTATGGCATGGCCACCACCCCTGGGGGGTGATTTCTCACTTTCTGTCTCTCTGTCTCTCTGTCTTTCTGGAGAGTGCACACGCCCTATAGCAAAAACCTCCAAAAAAAAAATTGGGTTGGGACCAGCAGATGACATAATGGTTATGTCACTGGACTCCCACATGGTCAACCACAGTTCAAGTCCCAAACCCAGCAGCTTGAAACTCATGTTGGGCATGTGTGCATGCATGCCCAAAATCCCAAGAGAAGAATGGAGGAGGAATTGCTGTGTGGCCATAACCCCCAAGAGGTGATTTCTCTTTCTCTCTCTCTGGGAGCGCATGTGCCATGTAACAGAAAAATCTCTTGTTAAAAAAAGCAATTGGAAAAAAAAAAAAAAAAGCAATTGGGTCCAGCAGGGGGCATGGGGGGCTTA